GAGGAGCAGGGAGGTAGATAGCCTGTTCCAGGCCACGCCCACCCACGCAGTTACCGGCCTCTGTTGACCAGGTTCCACCTCCCAACATCACGTTTAGCTATTAACTCATCCATGGACTGATCCACTGATGATTACAAAATCTGCATGACCACTTCTCCAAAGCCCCAAGTACGAGCACATGAGGCTTTGAGGGGAAATCTACATATAAACCTTATCTCCAGGAAAGTTGATACCAAAACCACACTCTAAAGCTAACTCACCGTGCTGTATTCCAAAGTAATCAGTAGAGCAAGTTACTCCTATGAAACTACTGTATTGCCGGGCATGGTGACGCATGCCTATAATCCTAGCACTCAGGAGGCTGAGGCAGGAGGATCCTTACAAGTTCGAGGCCAGCCTGGGCTACAAAGTGAGCTCAAAGCCAGCCTGAACTGAATAGCAAGACCCTGTCTGTCTCAAAAAAAAAAAAAAAAAAAAAAGGACAAAAAGAAGGAAACTACTGTATTAACTTGAAAAACAATGATATTTTAAATTACTAACACTAGTATATCAATTTTTGAAATGCTTATTTTGCTTCATTTGACTTTTTAAATTTTGTTATTTACTGTAAAAAGAAAACTACTTAAATACACAACAATAAGTACTGTATAGAAAATTCTTAAAGCAGATTACTATTCACTCATAACTAATGTTATAAAATATATTTATAGCTTGGAAACATGAATATTACAATGCAAAAGAATCAGATGTTCAATCAATATGTAAGAAATACAAAGTTTTCATAAAAATAATTCCATTTGCCCAAGAAAACTGTAGAAATATGTATCAGATGTTTATTATTGCTATTTCTTGGAAATTTTATGTATTATAATATTTTCCACATTTGCTAAATTCAGAATTTTTCTCACTAGTAAAAAGTCAATGAGTCATGACCACTGAAATGAAAAATGATTTGGATGCCAATGTCAAAAGATGAATAAATATCTACCAGAGTTGAGAAAATTCTTTTAAGCATGAGGGATATAACAATGTCAAAAGAAAGTCCAGGGGCTGGGGATTTAGCTCAGTGGCAAAGCGCCTGCCTGGCAAGCGCAAGGTCGTGAGTTCAATTCCTGGTACCGGAAGAAAAGACAAAAAAAAAAAAAAACAAGAAAGTCCACATAAATGTGGACTAAGGATGAAGGACAAAAACTAAAAATATAATAAAGCTTCAGTCTTTATTCACTTTATTCACATCTTCTGCAATGGTTAATCTTGTTTGTCAAGTTGATTGGCTTGGGAGAAACCCAAGAGGTCAAGAAAGCACCCCTGTGGTTGGTCAATGGGAGGTGAACTTGGGGACTGTATCCAGCCTCTGGCCCTTTCCTCTCTGTTTCTTTCTGAACCTCTCTTTTCCTAGCTGCCATGAGGTGGGTAGCTTTGCTCCACCATGCCCTTTTCCCATATTTTTCTGCTTTGGAGCCGACCAACCATAGACTAAAACCTCTGAACTTTTTCCCATTAAGGAACATAAAGTAACTAATAAATCATAAGGCAACATAAGGTAACTGCTACATCTTCCTACTGGAGAGAGCCCTTTTTCTACAATAAAAAAGGTCTTTAAATGTTTGTTTGATTGTTTTCATCCTTATTAAATTATGGACACATCATTTCTGAACATATCAGAAAGCTCTAGTAACATGAGGAGAAAGGGAGAAAACTTAAATCATAAAACTAAGTTGCATTCCTCTGCATTAACAATAAATTATCTGAATAAGAAATTAAGCAAATAATTCCATGTGTAATAGCATCAGGCAAAATAAAATGCTTAGGAATAAATTTAAACAAGGAGGTGACAATCTCTACAATGTAGACCATAAAGGCATGAATGAAAGAAATAGAATACATAAGTAAATAGACAGGCACCCTATGTTCAGTAATTGGGAAAATTTTGTTTATTTATTTATTTATTAATTTTTCCCAGTACCAGGAATTGAACTCACGACCTTGTGCTTGCCAGGCAGGCGCTGTGCCACTGAGCTAAATCCCCAGACCCAAGATTTTTCCGTGTGGGGAAACTGTGAGAGGTCAACAAGACTTCTCGGCAAAGTTTCTTTTCTTTTTCCCGGTTCCGGGAATTGAACTCAGGACCCCACGCTGGCCAGGCAGGAGGGGTGCCTCTGAGCTAAATCCCCAGCCCAATGGTAAAATGTCCATGCTATCCAAAAATCACCTACAAATTCATTACAATCGCTATCAAAATTTCAATGATATTTTAGAAAAAAAGCCTAAAATTTATAAAGAATCACAAAAAAATCAAATAGCTAAAGCAATCCCAAGGACAAAAAAACAGAGCTACAAACTATGCTATAAGGCCACAGCACTCAAAGTAATATAGTACTAGCATTAAAACAGACAAAAAAAGCCAATGTAATGGAATATAGAACTCAGAATTAAGCCCACACATACACAGGTAACTAACCTTTTATGAGAATGCCAAGAATACACAAGAGAAAAGAATGTCTTCAATAAATGGCATTGGGAAATTTATACACTCATGTATAAAACAATAAAATTTTACCCTGCCTCACACCATCTAAAGAAATTAATTCAAAATAGAATAGATTTAAAGGTAAGGTCTGAAACCATAAAACTTCCACAAGAAACAGGGAAAGCTTTGCAAAAATGATCTTGGCCAAGATGTTTTGGATATGACCTCAAAAGCGAACCAAACATAAAAAACAGACCAAATAAATCATTAGCAACTAATTCAATTTAAAAATGGAAAAGGGCCTAAAGAGTCATTTTTTTACAGAGTAAATTGGAAGTGGTCAACAGGTATATGAAAAAAATGTGCAACATCATTTATGTAGGTAATACAGATCAAAATCACAATGGTATATCACCTCATACATGTTTTCATAGCTGCTGTACTAGTCCGGTTTTTCTGTTGCTAGGCAACACACATGACTCCCAAACCTAAAGATTTTACTCGACTCATAGTTTTAGAGGTTTCAGTGCATGGTAGACAAGTTCTAAGGCAACATTATAGTAGAAGGGGATCGTGGAGCAAACCTGCTTAGTTCATGGTGGCTGGCAAGCAGAGCAAGAGACTAGCACAGGTGAGGAAGGGGCCAGGGGCCAGATATAGAACCAAGTCTAGTCTCCATACTTACCTGGATATACCCAGAAGTGGGCTTTACTAATGCCCCAGACAGTTTCCAAACCAACTGCTTTGAGAATTCAGCTTACCTGTCACAGTTGTTATCAAAATTAAGAGATAAATGTTGGTGAAGATGGGAAAAGGGAATCCTGAACACTGCTGATGAGATTGGAGGCTGCAGAACAGTTTGTCAAAACAGAAGGAAAATTTTTCCAAAAAATTTAAAATAGAACTAACAAAAAACCCAACTGAAGCAGCTGCTTTGCTTTCTTCATCCATATCTCCTTGTCGCTTCCATTCCTGTGCATTTTGTGGCAGCTTGGCTGTGCACTTCATGGACTAAGGGCTCTTTCTGGCACAGGACTTCACCCTTGTAGCAAGTCAGAGGCGGCAGGAAATTAAGACCCCCTCACTGGAGAGGTCCTTAACCACTGCCTGGGAGGAGCTGGTGGATAAACAGTGTGGAAAACAGTATAGAAGTTCCTCAAAAAATTAAAAATAGTACTACCATAGATCTAAGAATCCCATTCCTGGGTATCTATTTAAAGAAAATGGAATCGGTATGTCAAAGAGCTATCTGCATCTCCACATTTGCTGCCAGCTTTAGTCACAATAGCCAAGAAGTGAAATCAACCTATGTTTCTATTAATGGATGAAGGGGAAAATGTGGCACATATGAACAAGAGAATATTATTCAGCCATAAAAATTATGCCATTTGTAACAATACGGAACAATCCAGAGGACACTATACTAAGCAAAGTAAGCCAGACGCAATAAGATACATAGTGTACGATTTCTCTTACTTGTGGAACCTAAGAAAGTTGAACTGATAAATAAAGAAACTAGAATGCCAGGACAAGCTGTTGGGTGAAATGGGCAGATGTTGTTAAAGAAGTACACATTTTCACTTATTTGGTAAATAAGTTATAGAGATCTAATATGTGTACAGCATAGTAATCCAATGCAAGTTTAATAAAAGTAAGAGAAGGGAGAAAAGAGTGAAATAGTTAATAACATTGCATTGTTTATATGAAATTTATTAAGACGATCTTGTGTCCTCACCACACACACACTTACACACACACACACACACACATATGCATGTGTCTGTGCCCATGTACACTCACATAGAGGACAACTGTGGGTGATGATAGGTATATTGATTAATTTGATTGGGGTAATCATTATACAGTGTATATATACATTAAAGTATCACCTTGAATGTTTTTGTCAATTACACTTCAATAAATCTAGGAAGTGAAATAAAGAAAAATCAAGAAGTATCTTAAGGTACTGTGTTAAGGAAAATTCACTGGGATTTCCCATGCCCTAATTACAATTTCCACCCCTCCATTACGTTTTAAAGAAGATTTTAAAGAAGAAGTGTGCCTTTATATGACTTATTAAATATTCTCAGACAATACTATCTTTTATTTTATTAACAGGTCAGAAAAGTATTTATTTTCTTACTATAAAATTTAGTTACATTAAAATAGATTTGATGTTTAGACATTTAATCTCGACTATATTCATCAGTGCCAAATCCACTCAAGAAAAAGATTTTTAGCATCAATATGTAAGATCTGCTGGTTGGTCATATACTCAACTAGCTATAGCTTATGTTATATCAAAATATTTATTTAAAAGCTAAAATCATCACTACCTCCAAAACATTGTTATTAATTTCTTCCAACCTGTCCTCCTTCAATATATTAAACTCAGAAGCAAAGAATTTTAAGGACAAAGAACTTCTAAAACAAAACAAAAAGTAAGACAAAGAACAGGAAAGAAAAGGAATGATATAAGGCAAAAGGGAACGGAAAGAACAGAAGGAGAAAGACATGAGAAACTGCTCACCTCTGCAGGTCATGTCCCAGTAATCATCGATTTGTTTCTGCGTTGGGAAGTGACCACAGTCATTGAAGTACTTAAGGAGCTCACTTCTTTCTAATCCTTGCCAGTCTTCTCTCTTGGCAAACATCGTTTCATAGACTAAAAGACCAAAAGATTAAAGAAAATATTTTCTTTATGAATAATATACCAAGTGTAGGACCTGAAAGATTCATCTGGGTCTGAAGATGTCTTAACTCCAGCTTTATTTTCATGTCTGATGAAAATCCTCCATGAGTGAGAAGCACCGTGTTACCTACTGGCATAAGCCAGCTCCACCTCCTTCCAACCACCGCAGTGAAATCAGACTGGATTCCCTCGGCACAACACCAGGCTCCTCCATTCTGGCTGTGTGGTTGTTGATCATAGACTACACATATCATTGCGCAAACCACACCACAAGACATAGCTTTTCAAATTTATTTTTGACTAAGATGTAGTTATTGTACCTACATGGGGTTCAGTGTGATATTTCAGTACATGTATGCAGTATGCCCTGATCAAATCCAATCTCCTTTTCTCTACTCTTCAGACTCATTTCCCAAACTCTGATAATCACTATTCCACTTTCAGGTTGATTTTTTTTAATTCCACAATTAAGATGAAATATGTCTTTTGGTGTCTGGTTCATATTGCTTAGCATAATATCCTCCAACTTGCCGTAAAGGATAATAATTCATTCTTTTTTATGGCTGAATAAAACTCATATATAGATAGATATAGATACAGAGATAGAGTGAGAGAGAGATTACATTTGATTTATTCATTCAACTGTCAGTGGGCATCTACACTCTGTATCTTAGCTCTTGTGAATAATGCTGCAATAAACACAGGTATGCAGGTATCTCTTTGGTATACTGATTATTTGCTGGGGATTTATATCTAAAAGTGAGACATTGGATCACATGGTGGATTTCTTTTTGGTTTTTAAAGAAAGCACCATACCATTCCCTAAATGGCTACACTAGTTTACATTCCCACTAGCAATGTCTGAGAGTTCCTTTTTGTCCTCTCCTCACCAGCAATGTTAGGATTTCTGTGGGTCTCGCTTTTGCTGACTCATTCAGAATGCAGTTATTAAATTCCCTAATTGTTCATCTTTGTTTGGCTTTCAATTCACATTTTAATCACTTAAATTGTTTATTCCACTTTGGGCTGCTTATTCAATGTCTAATTTGTTCCCTATAGAAGCAGTATCTACATTTTGCTTACTGATTTCATGTGTCCTTACGTCCTTGTTTCAGGTGCTTTGGCACCTCTGGTTCAAGACTAACCACAGAAAATCACTTAGCTAGGATATCTGTCATCTATGTCCTGTATCAAGAGCATTGTCACATACAATTTGTAGACATACTTTTACAAAAATGTTGTTTTTTCTTTTCAGAACAATGATTCTGAGTCTCCACTCCGAAGTATATTGCATTAATTTCATAGAACTCATTGTTATTTAATATATACAGGTTGACAGGGGCTGTTTAAGTAGGTTGAAGTACAGACTTAGCTTTGAAATATGGGTTCCCAATGACAATAGGCATCTGCGTGGTTTTGCACAGAAGTTTTATCATCCTGGAACTCGATCGTATGGATTTCAGTTTTCTATTCATTCACTCTTTCATTCAATTGAAGGAGATAGCATTGAAACATCAGCAAATGCAAGAAATATTTACTGATTCCAAAATGTCACTAGTTGTTCTAGATTTTAAAATACAGCAGAAAGGGGCTGGGGATTTAGCTCAGCGGCAAAAGCGCCTGCCTGGCAAGCGCAAGGTGGTGAGTTCGGTTCCCGGTACCGGAGAAAAACCAAAAAATAAATAAATAAATAAAATACAGCAGTAAAACAAACTTACACTTAGTATACCTACATGTTTTTCTCTTTTCAAACACACAAACTAAAGCAATTATTTTTGGTGCCCCAATTCACATCTCCTTGTCTCTTATATTTCTGCATATTTTGAAATAACCTGAACATGCCAGCATCTGCATGTCATTGCCTCAGGGCTCCTTCTGCCACATGGCTTCCCTCTGCCCACCAGCGCAGCAAGCCAGAGAAAGCAGGAAATTGACACCCCATGCCCCCTGGAGTGGCCCCCGACCAAACTTGAGAGAGTTGGCAGATGAACACCTAGCATTTGAGGGAAGCAGGCACCACTGTTCTCCTGAGTTCGCTTGATAGTGCAATCTTTTTTCACTTCTGTCCCCTTCCTGCATTCCTTCTGTCTTTCCCTAACAGTATCTTCTGCGATGCACTCCCAAATAAGTTGGTTGTACTTGAATTCTTGTATCTGGACCTGATTCTGAAATCCACCAAACTATGTTACTTTTTCCTTTTTCAAAGTACATAAATACATTTATCCTTCAAAAAATACTTCTATTTTTTCTATTAGTTTCTATTAGTTTTCCCTGGAATCAATTAGTTTTAGATATTTTTCATAAGATCAGATTGATGTACATATTAACATTATAATGACTATATTAATAGGTAACATTATTATAGGCAAAATGGTTTGTTGGCCATGTTAATAGGTAACAATGCCCCTAAGCTGAATATTTTGCCTTACAAGCAAACTTGCAACAAAATACACAAGCATAATTTATATACTAGGCTAGTGCAATTAGAGAAAACATAAAATTTTATTTATGAAAATTGAGATATTTGAATGATTGAAATATGCTTAAAAACATGCAAGGATATCTTTCAACATATCCTTCAATTAGCAATCAATAAACAAAAAGGAGAATTTTCTAAGGAACATGAAGGTAAATAAGAACTTGCAGAGTCTGTGAGATAATTAGAGTAACAAGTTTTCAATATAAATGGATGCTTTGGTTGATAATTCTTTATCCAATTAGATGACTTTTATTATGCTTCAGATCCTATATTAAGCTGAGCACCATGTGTCCTAACTGAAGTGGTTTTTGTCTGCTTTTTGTTTCATGTCAGACTATCCTCAGTGCCACGTAAGTTCTACCACAGATCCTTGTTTAGGAGGTACCAATGGTTTCTGAACTCTCTCAAGGTAAAATACAATGATCTATGAAATCTGACACAACCAGTGCTCCATACTACATCTCCAGCCCTACTTTATTCTCTCACTCATGATTTCAATAATATCAATCACCTGCTTCCTCCAACACTAGCAGCCTCCAACTAAAGTCCTGGTTCTCGCTGCTCCATCTGCCTAGAACATTCTTCCTCCATCTATTCACCGGGCTCCTCTCTGATTTTTTTTAAATAAATTTTTATTCAAAGAGCTGCTTAGCTAAAAACCAATTGTCTGTCTCTTACATAGACACACACACACACACACACACACACACACACACACACACACACACTTCTTCTCAACCGCTGACAGTAGAAAAGGAATCGTTCCAACACAGAAAGTTCTGGTTATTTTGATTATTTGTAAAAAGATACATTGTTTTAACATAACAATAAACTCAATGAAAGCAATGTTTTTGACAATAGTAGATATTTGTTGTTGAACATAGTACCTGTCTTCATGCAACTCATAACTCAACATGTGAAACATTTTATAATCAACTCAGTCCACCAAAAATTTTATAAAGCCGTGATTAACCCAATTAAGCACAATTTACTTACATAATGTTTTTATCAAAAGACTGGGTCTAATAATCTATCTTCATGCTAAACAATACTTGATTTGCTAAATATAAATAGAATTATGGATTTCTGATATAAATTGGGGACCTTGTTCTATGGAAGAAATTCCAACACCAATAAGTGACAGGTGGATTTTTCTGCTCAGAGCCAATTACCTATATTTATGTATCGATGTTTTAACTTTCATTTGGAGTGCAACCTTTCCTCCAGTGTGTAGAGCCTTTGTAACTCTCAAGGTTCCTGACTTTCCCACTGCAAAGTGCTAGACACATGATTCACTGTAAACCAATCAGGCAAGGTCTCCCTGGATTGTGATTTAAAGCAGAGCAACGAATGTCTTTACATTATAGGTGCTAATCTATCCTCCAGAGGCAAATAATTTTCTTTATTCCCTGTTCCCTAGACCTCTGCAAAAGCTGTAATTCATATTCTATCTGATATCTATTCTTTAGCTATCTTCCCAATATTCACCCTTAAATTTGTTTTTGTGCTTTGTTTGGGCAGAATGAGGCTCTCACAGCTTATGAATTGAGGGCCTTAATGAACTAATCCAACTATGTAATATGCCACTTTAAAATGGAAATAGCTTCCAGGAATATAAAATATAGTCTACCTTGGTTTGTCATAAGTAAGTATATGCAAAACTTGAATGTTTAATTAATTCCAAATTTAAAGCAGAAATGACTCCATCACTTACACTTTTTTCTGTCCATCCATTCCTCCAGCTCTATGAGGTTTATAATTTGTCTTGTTCTCCAAAGGCCGAGTCTATATTTAACACGATAGATTAGTCCTCGATACATGTCTATAACTGCTTTCAAATTTGGTCCATGATACAAAGCCTATAAAATGGTAGGAGAGTCAGTAAACTCTGTGTATTTATTTTGTTCTCCTTAAATTTATTTTGATTTCTCCCTTTGCTTCTATTTCACCCCGTTTCTTAGACTATGGCTTTATTTATTATTTTTTATGGAGTAATAGCATTTCCCTGAAGGTCAGAACCCCTCTATGCATTGCTTTGTCATCAACAGGTTCACACTTCCCATGGAGTAGACGATTCACTAGTGGTTACTTTCTGAGGTTTGTGTACAGATTTCTGTTTGTAGCACATTTGAGTCAGAAAATAAAGATTTTGTTCTATAATAGGTAATTCTTTTTTATTTGTATATACTCGTTACACATAATATCACATTCATCATAGGGAACTTGTACCTGTATATAATGCATCTTAATGACTTTTCCCTACTCTCCTCCCCTCTCTTCAACTGCTCTTCGCCTCCTACTTATAAAAGCTTTGCTTCCATTTTTTCCTTACATTCTCTTTTTAAAATTCCTTTTCTTTTCCTTCCCTTCTCCCCCTCACTCCTGTCTTCTCCTTCCATTGGGCTTCCCAATATCTATCCTCCCTGGTGCTCCTTACTTACTCTTTGGATTTCTAACATAAGAGAAACAATGTGATATTTAAACTAGTGTGTCTGATTTACTTTACTTAAAATTATTATCTTGAGGTGCATCTGTTTGCCTAAAAGCAACTCAGGTTTATCTTCTTTATGGCACACTAGTACTGATATAAAAACCACATTTTCTTATCTATTCATTTGTTGATGGGCATATGCGCTGTTTCCAAGATTTAACTATTATAAGTTTCTCTGCATTAAACATGGGTACGCATACATCACTGTGGTATGATGTTTGTTTTTAACTCTTTGGGAAAGATACATAGAAGAGAACAGCTGTGTCAAATGGAATCACTACGTTTAGTTTTTTGAGGAATTCCATAAGGTTGTATCAATTTACATTCCCACAACAATGGAGGAGGGTTCATTTTTTCCCCACAGCCTCACCAGTATTTGTTGGTGCTTGATTTCTTGATGACAGTCATTCTTTCTGTAGTGAGATGGAGTCTCAGTGTTGTTTTAATTTTCATTTTTCTTTTAGATGTGTGTGTGTGTGTGTGTGTGTGTGTGTGTGTGTATGCGTGTTTGAGACAGGGTTTCACTATGCAGTTGAGGCTGGTCTCAAACTCAAAGCAATCCTCCTGCTTCAGCCTCCTGAGTGCTGGGGTTACAGGAGTGTGCCACCACATCCCACACCCAGCTAATTTGAATTTTTGAATGACCAGAGAGATTAAACATTTTTTCATATATTTACTTGTTGATTGTACTTCCTAATCTGAGAAGCATTTGTTGATTTCAGATGTGCATTTTTGGATTGGATCTTTAAATTTGAGGGGTCTGATTGTTCTGAGTTCTTTGTACATTCTAAATATTAGTCCTTTGTCTAAGGGGTAGGTGATAAAAAATTTTACCATTCTTTGGTGGTCTGTCCTGTTGGTGATTTCTTTTGCTCTGTAAAAGTTCTTTAATTTGACGTGATCCCAGTTGTTGATTCTTTGTGGTATATCTTGTGTGATTACAGTTTTGTTCATAATGTCTTTGCCTACACCTATGTCTTCTAGAGTTTTATCTATTCTATCTTCAAGCAGACTAAATGTTTCTGTTTTTATATTTAGATCTTTGACCCACTTTGATTTTAGTTTAGTGCATTGTGAGAGATATGAGTCTAGGTTCTATTTTCAGCATGTGAAAAGCCAGCTTTCCCAGCATCATTTATTAAAGAACCTACCTTTGTTCACATGAAGGTATTTAACCCCTTTGTTAAAGATAAGGTGACTGAGGGTGCTTGGAATTATTTCTGCATTTTCTATTCTGGTCCACTGCCCCTCAGGTCTGTTTTTTTGGCCAGTGCCATGCTGTATTCATCATGGTAGTTTTATAATATAACTTCAAATCAGGGACTGTGATGTCCTTGATCAAGATGCTGTGCCCTTATTTTCCAGAAGTGCTTTTGCTATTGTAAGTATCTCCTGTACCACATGATATTCACAATTGTTTTCTCTGGCTCTGTGAGATACGCTACTGATATTTTTAACAGGACTGCATTAAATCTGTATATCAATTTTAAAAACATGATCATTTTAGCTATACTGTTCTGCCTATACAAGAACAGGGGCTATCTTTCCATTTTCTGGTATCTTTTCTGCTCTCCTTTTTCAGAGTATTGTAGTTTTGAATGTAAAGATCTTTCACTTCATTAAATTGATTTCTAAGTATATCATTTTTCTTGATGTTATTGTGAAAGGTGTCATTTCCCTAATTTCCCTTTCAGTGAGTTTGTTATTTGTCTACAGGAATCTATTGATTTTTGAGTGTTGACTTTGTATCCTGCTATGCTATGGATATGTTATTAGTTCTTGTAGTATTTTGTTTTACATTTTAGGATTTCTGTGTACAGTTTCATATCATCAGCAAATAATAATTTAACTTCTTTCTCATCCATATTCCCTTTATCTCTTTCTTTGGTCTAATTGCTCTGGCAAATGTTTCCGGAAGTATATTCAACAGGAGTGGTGATAATGGGCATTCTTGACTTGTTCCTTATTTTACAGAGAAAGTTTTCAGTTTTTGACCATTTAATATGATGTTGACTGTTGATCTATCATAGACAACTTTTATCAGATTAATATAAAGACCTCTATTTCCACTTTTTGGAGTTTTTTAAAATCAAAATTGGATGTTGCACTTCGTTAAATGTTTTTTCTGCATTTATGGAGATGATCATGTGGTTTTTGTCCTTGGTTCTGTTAGTGTAGTGCCTTGTGTTTACTGATTTCCATATATGGAGTCATACCTACATTGATAGGATGAATCCTACTTGGTCATGGTGTATACTCTTTTCGGTGATTCATGGTGTTCTGTTTGCCAGTATGGTACTGACAATTTTTGCAACTATGTTCATTAAGGACATTGGCTTATAGTTTTCTTTTCTTAGTTGGATACTTCTCTGATTTTGGTATCAAAGTAATGTATGCTTTCAGGAATGTGTTTGGAAGTGTTGCTTCCCTTTCAATTTCCCATTAAGGTGTTTGAGGATTAGTTGTCTTAGATCTTCTCTAAAGTTCTTACAGAAATCAGCATTGAAACCATCAGGACCTAGGCTTTTCTAATTGGTAGATTTTTTTTCATTACTTCTTCAATTTCATTGACTGATATTGGCCTATTTACAATTTTTTATCTTCTTGATTCAGCTTTGGGAATTCATATGTATCTAGGCATCTATCCATTTCTCCTGAATTTTCCATCTTATTAAAGTACATGACTCAAAGTAGGTAATGTTGATCTTCTGGATTTCTGCAGGACGTTTTGATTTTGCCTTTTCCATCCATAATTCCAAGGCTTTGAGTTTTTCTTTCCTTGTGTTGATAAGGTTGCCTAAGGGGTTTGTCTTTTTTATTTAATCTGCCAAGGAACCAACTCTTTGCCTCATTGATTCTCTGTATTGTTTTCTTAGTATAAACTGCAGTAATTTCTGCTCAGATTTTTATAATTTTCTCCCTCATGCATGCTTTGGATTTAACTCACTCTTCCTTTTTGATATAAGCTTGAAGTTCTACACTAGACTATTTATGTGAGCTTGCTCTGATTTTTCTCATGTGAGAATTCACTGGTATAAATGTTCCTCTTAAGACTATTTTCATTGTATCCCATAACATCTGCTATGAGTCATTAGCATTATCATATAATTGTAGAAACTGTCTAATTTTTTCCTTAATTTCATCTGCAACCCATTGGTTGTCTAGGCAGGTATTATTTAATTTCCATGTGTTTATGTAGTTTTGTGGTTTCTTTTGCCATTGATTTCCAATTTTATTTCACCATGGTCTGTTAATATGCATGGCATAACTTCAAGTCCTTTGCATTTACTTAACCACATTCTATGAGCTACAATCTCATCTGTTTTGGAGAAAGTCCCATGTACTGCTCAGGAGAATGTGCATTCTGCTGTTGGGTAGAACACTGTAGATATTTATTAGTCCATTTGGTCAAAGGTTTGGTTCACTTCTGATATTTCTTTGTTGTTTTTTATCTAGTTGATCTGTCTGTTTTTGACAATGGAGTATTGATGCCCCCCATCACAGTTCTATTAGTCCTTACCTGATTTTTTCACATGCATTAGTGCTGGTTTTACGTAATTGGGTGAGTTGGTATTTGAAGTCTACTTTTTCTGCAAATAGAGCAGGTACCCCTGTTTTTTGTCTGGGTTACTGTTGCATGAAATATACTCTTTCCCATCTTTTGCACCCTTTCAGTCTATGAATTCTTTTTTGAGTTAAATGTGTTTCTTGTATGCAGCATATTGTTGAATCTTATTTTTTGATCCATTCTGCCATTGTTTCTTTAGATTGGTGAATTGACACGATACACATTGATGGCTATAACATTTATGGGTTTAGACTTATCCTTGCCCTTATATTATCTTCCTTTGTTGGTTCACTTTCTTTCCCTTCTATTTAATTGTTTTCATTGCCTGCTGGATTAATTCTACTGGGATTCTTGGAATGGTTGTCTTTTTCTGGAATATTCTTCAGAAATTTTTGGAGTGTTGGTTTGATGGTCATGAATTTCTTCTGGTGTTCTTTATTATGGAAATATCTCATTTATCCATCAATTTTGTAAGATAATTTTGTGGGATACATCAATCTGGTTTGGAAGTTGTTTTCTTTTAGGGCTTGAAATATTTTGCTCCAAGCTTGCCTTGACTTAAGTGTTTGTGTTGAGAAGTCTGGGTTTCTTTTGTCTAACAGCTTTAAATATTCTGTGCTTGCACTGAATTTCTGAAATCTTGACTACTATAAGCCTTTGCGTAGTTTCTTTTTCTGATTGTGGCTGTTTGAAGTTCTATATGCCCTACTTACTGCATGTCAAATTCTTTTTTGTTGCTTGGAAAGTTTTCTGCTAGTACTTCTGTCACAGGTTCTTCTGCCCTTGGTTCTATATTCTGA